ATGGTACTTTAAAAACAATTAAACTGAAACTGTGAACCTAAATTATCAAAAAATTTATTTGACGATACAGTTGTATTCAACTCCCCAATTTTTCAAAAGTGTGAGATTCATGATTTTAGGATACTTCTCACCTATGAGCAAGGAACTGCTGCTTTGCTTCTTCCAAGGAGAAGAACAGTCTGGCTTTTTTTATTGATTCAGTAAGCATATATGGAGACTTTAAAACTTAAGACTTAATTTCATATTACACTCTGGGTTGAAGCAAGAGAAAGAGGTTTAAACAGGAAAAAAGGTGTAAAATTGGAACCATTTTTAGCTGATATCGTATTAATTTAAAAAATTGGAAAAAAACCAATACTACTTTTTTTTCCCAAAAGGAAAAAAACCTCAACCCTCATTTATACACTCACACACATAGCAAATGGGCAACTGAATTGACCAAGAGATTTCCAAACCAACAATTAAGGTCTGAGGCTTGTTTAATATGTTTTTACATTCCACTAGCACTTTGAATAGGCAGATAATAGTATGCAGTTCTAAAAATACCTTTATTTAAGGTGGGTGTTCTTCCCCATAAATATAGCTTTGTACAACAACGTGCAAGGTAAGTTCTGAGTAGTAAACTGGTTGCTCTTGGAAACAGGAAGTATTCCTGTTTCTGGTTTGTTCAACATACACTCACAGTCATCGCTCCATGTTGCGTGTTGTTTATAAATCTTTATTGAGTAGTTGGCTCCAGTTTCTCTGCAAATCCACTACCCTCAATTTCCAGGATTAAAATGGGTTTCACCAATTTGATTACCCCTACTATTGCAAAAAAACACTTCTTATTTTAAATCATTGCACAAACCACCCTGCTTGTGGAAAAATCAAGGGTACCAAAGAGTCACGGAGGAAGGAGTTAAGGATGCTCCACTGAGGTGTTAAAAAATGAACAAACAAAAAAGCCACCCAGAACTCAAATCTCTTCCACCTTCATACCTGGTGCCACAAATACTTAAGCACGTGAGAACCTTCATGGGCTTGATTAACCTAATTGAAGACCCAAGTAATCCAGGGAAGCCTGCAGATACTCATATGGGTAAAAATATTTTTCATTTGATTGTGACTTCCAATGAAGTGTTGACTGCACGTGTGTTGGGATTCACGACCACACCACTCCCTCATGATACGACCTCTGTGCAGTACATAACACATGTACAGTTTAATCATATCACTTTGCTCCTTGTCATGTCTGAAATCCTCTGTCCCCAAGCCAGTATTTTTTGTACTTGTCTGTTTCCATTTTACAGTTTCCATGAAAAAAATTACCAAGAATGTACCCAAAATAAGAACTTACGCATTGTAGTCAGATGCAAAATTTTTTGTTAAGATACTCTTTCTGTTGACCATAAAGAGACTAGAAAGCAGTCTTTGGCACAACCTAGGCAGCACTGGGAGACATAGAGGTGTGTGAGGCCGTCGCTTGATCCTGAGTGGCTTGTAGGTGGCCACTGCTATGGGAGAAGCTGTACAGTGTCTAAATAATAATGTTTAAAGATACTTGTCACCTAGAAGGACTTTTTTTGTTTGAGTTTTTTTTTCTGATTGAAAATACTTCCATAGCTGGATATTAAGTGAAACAAAAGAGTAAATTTGATTGCTATCTGTCACACTCAAGAAAAGCTTCTAAATGCACAGTTGTCATCCTAAGCATGAGGTAGCTTTTGGTTTAGGATCCTAAATATAACAATTGCTTCTATTAAAGCAAAATGTCTGAGCATTCTTAGTTTTCAAATACCCTTTCATCTGTCATGGCCCATAATTTATGCTAGTAGAAGTTGAATTCTGGTAAAGAATGCAGATTGGACTAAGCAGTTAGTCTGGGTTGACAGCTGATGCTTTTATTTTCATATATTGTATGAGAACTGAAAAGGTGTAGCTGCTTTTGTTTCTTACCAGCATGCATTCTGTCATTTCCATAAATCTGAAAGCTACCAGTACATTGAAAAGACCTGAGGAAATGCAGCTGGATAACTTATCTTGAAATTGTGGCTTTAATTGCTTCAGTAGGTTTACCTCTTAAAACCGCTTTACTGTTAGGGGCAAACTTTTTTTTTTGACAGTAATGTTAAAGCACATTGAATGATAGTTTTGAATATTGATGATTCTGGATTAGCAATGCTAACCAAGTTTGTGTGTTATTTTTCTAGACTTCAGTTTATTGTTTGCATTTCATATTCTCTTGTTGGTATTAATGTGCCAATATTGGATGTGGGTATATGTCAGGTTTTTCATGCTGATACTGCCAAAATACTTTTCTGCAAAATCACTTGTTTGAACTCCCTGTGGTGTAACAAACAATCCAGAGAAGTAGTCAGTTTTCATGGTTGGACCATCCTGCATCGCCTGTAAACAGTCCTGATGAGGAGTGAAAGGAAGGCAGGCGTCCTGAAGCCACTGTGATGCAGACGTCGATGACCCTCTGTGGAAACCCTTCAGCGTTCTCTACATCTCTTCTGGACAAAAGGGCTGGTTTGGTTGTTCCAAATGATCTCCCTCCCTTGGAAGGCCCATTTACTTTGTGGTGGGCATCACAACATTGGTTTCAAAAAGGCGTTTTGTTATTATACATAAAGACATTTGCTGTTGGATAGGCAGTTCATTTCTGGCACTTTCATGGAAGAGGTGTGATCAATGTCATGAGAAGCACTGCTAGGCTTCTGCAAGGAAATGGAGATGTAAGCCCAATCCCAGCAACAGGCCGTGTGGATGTGTGGTGGCAGAGCCCCAGCATGGGATGCCCAGCCTCAAGGTACATGACCACGGTAGAGGCATTCTCAGCACCAGCTGTACCAGGTGAGTCATCTGCAGTTGGCCACAGGTAAGACTGTCCCTTGGTTGTGGGGCAAGGAAGGGCCAAAAAAGCAGATAGCAACCTATTTTCCTGCTGTTGAGAATTTCATGCAGATATTTAACTTCATATGGCAGCTTTTTCAGCCCTGGCAGCTCGTTATGCCCATGGTCCTGGAGCCAGCATCCTGACTCTTATCCTCAGCAGGTGACAGTAGAGCTAAATCTTTACAACAGGCCCCTACTACCCAGCTTTACTCTCTTACAAATCAGGCATTGGTGATCATTTTTCACTTCTGGTGGATCCAAATAGACTTTGAGACCTGACTGAGTCATTTATGCAGAACTTCAAAATCTACGAGATCACCTGGTGAATATTCAGCACCATTCCCAGTTAAAATATAGACTCAGCATCTCCTCCAGCTGTAGATGATGTAGGGGTTGGATGCACACAGGAGGACTAACTCAAGATTGCTGTGTCACCCAGTGATCTGTTGCCTTCATTTTCATCTGACAGTGCTTTATGTACATCGGATTACAGGGAGCTGAATGGAGTACTGAAGGCCAGCTGCTAAGAAGGTAAGACAGACAAGAAGCCACAGTCCATCTACACTGGGAAAGCAGGGCTGGAGCTTCCTTTTTCAGGTGGTGACAAATCGACCTCATTAAAATTTTATTTTTCATACTATGAAAGCTATATGCAACAAGCCCCATCATTAGAGACTGCTGTCACCACAAGTGCTGGCAGCAAAACCTGACTTATGGGAATGGATGAACAGAGCCCAGAACTAATCAAGATGAGTTCAGTTTCTAGTATAAACGCCTCCTGCAGGTTTAAGTAAAAAAAAAAAACCAGGCTAAGAGCTGGCATAGTATTTCAGAAACCCATTGATATCAGGGCAAGCTGCTTACAAAGCAGCTGGCCTGAGAGCAATGTGGTAGTGCACTGGTGCAAGCAAGGACAATATTTACATCCATTTATATTCATGTCACAGCATGGATTCTTAATAGCCTTCCTGCCAAACCTTGCTCAATAGTCCATTTGGAGAACCTATGGATCAACTTTATTTATAAAAATTTGACATTGCACTCTGCAGTGGGAAAGTGATTGAAAAAGGTGGCCAACAGAAAGTGCTATTTCCCGTATTTTTTCTGTATTTTTGTACCTTGTTGTCTGCTGTGTCATCGAGTTCAGCTGTCACCTCTGAAACTGTCACATTTTGTTCTAGCTAATTGCCTGTGATAGAGGCTACAGAATACAAATATAACTATTGCTTATGGTCCTTTGGCACCAAAGAGCTTGTTGTATTGCCACAGTGGGAAATGCTGGGTTATAACCAAACTTCATTTACAAAACAAATGTGTTTTCTTGGATTGACTACTTTTCTTGCAGACGACTTGGAAGGAAGCATTTCCTGGGGTGAACCTTCAAAGGTCAATACCTTCCTGTTGAAAGCAATTCCTGTGTGTGACAGCTATCATCTTGCTTCCCTATTAACTTCAAATAATGGTGGAAGAGACTGGGTCTGTCTCTGCTTGCAGATGCTGGGTTTGGGGCTGGCTGGAGCAGAGCACTTAACCCTGCAGCCCCAAAAAGTCATGTTGAGGCAGGATGACATTTGGCCAACTCCTATTATGTCCCTTCTCAGTCAATAAGGTGAAAATAGCAGCTGCTGCCTCATTTGCACATATTTAATTTCTTTAATTTCAGATGAAATTAAATGTAGATGTAGAGACCTTGCAAACTTTTATGCAGGGGGCTACTAAGCAGGATTTCACACAGGGTCTTCAGGACTTAAGCAAGCCACTGGCAAGATATTGGCTTAGAGAGAGTGGGTGGGTGGGGGGCTGCAACGCACCCAAAGGGCCCTGCCCCTCACCCCCTTCTAGATATTGTACCTTGCATGATGGTACCCAATATTAATCCGGACTAGCCCTCCCCACAGCAAATCTCCAGGGGTAGATAATCCCGTTGCAAGCTGTCTCTTTCCACCCCTGGAGGGCCCTGAATTAGGTCAGACTGGATTAAGTTTGCATTTTATTTATCTAATTTTTTTTTTCGTGCTCGTTACACGCACACTCAGGCTCGGAGGAGGCGGGGAGGGAGGCGGGGAGCGGCGGGAGCTTTAGCCGATGGCAGTGTCTGATGCCCGGCGGCGGATGCCAGCGGCAGCCGGGCGATGGCGAGGAGCCGGGCGGCTTACGAGTACACGGAGGCGGAGGACAAGAGCATGCGGCTGGGTTTCCTCCTCATCGCCGCCGGCTTGCTTTCCCTCTTGGGTTTGGGTTGTTGCTGGCTTCGCCCGGCGCTGCAGGAGCGGGGCGGCGGCGGCTCCGCCAACTGCACGGTGCTGGCGGTGCGGCAGCTGGGGGAGCGCTTCGCCTGCACCTTCTCCTGCGGGGCCGCCTGCCGCGGCACCGCCCGCTACCCCTGCCTCCAGGTCCTGGTCCGCACCTCCCGCTCCTCCGCACCCGCCCTGCTCCACGAGGACGAGCGGCAGCTCCGCACCAACCCCAAGGTGAGACCTGCGAACGCCCTCCTCTCCCAAAATGCGGGGTGGTGGGTCCCGCCGTGGCGATGGTGCCCTTTCCGTGGCCCCGGTGCCCGCCTGGGGCGTCCCGGTCCGCGGCAATCGCCCTCTGTTCGGTGCGGGTTTTAATCTGAGAGGGGGGGAGTGGATGAAGTCCCGGAGCATCCCTCCAAAATACCACTCTGCTGTTGCTCAGCAAAACGTAGTATATCTCTATAGTGTGTGTATATATATATATGTATATGTGTATATATACGTACTCTACAGAGTGCATCTATATTTATGTGTTGTGTGCATATACATATCTAGCATGTCAGGGGTGGTTTAGGCTCGATATTAGGGAAAGATTCTTCACCCAGAGGATGGCACTTACAGACTCCCCGGGAATGTGGTCACAGAAACAAGCCTGCCAGAGTTCAAAAAGTGTTTGGACAATACTCTCAGGCACATGGTGTGATTCTCGGGGATGGTCTTGTACGGGGCCAGGAGTTGGACCCGATGATCCCTGTGGGTCCCTTCCAGCTCAGGATATTCTGTGATTCTATATGGCATAGTATAACATACTATCAATGTATAATGTATAGTATACTACATACTATACTACACTATACTATACACTATCCTAAGTACAGTATAATGCTATATACACACACATCATATATAAATACGCACACACACTATATAAATACACACACACACACACACACACACACACGCACTTCGCGATCAGCCCCATTCATTTCCAGCCCAACCCTCCCGCGTCCGGAGAGCAGCCCTCGGGCGGAGCGCGGCGGGAGCAGCGGAGGTTCAGCTGCCGTTCCCCGTCCCGCTGAAGCCCCGGGACGCCGGCGGGGAGCCGGGGAGAAATTCCTGCTGCCGGCGGGGAGATCTGTCTGCTCGGGTAGTGCCCGATGCCGCTGCGTGATCCAGAGGGTGGGGGGCTTCCTAGAGCAACTCCCCGAAGCGCAAGGGGAAGTGTTAACGGAGCCACTGCTGGCGGGGCGTCGGGGAGAGGGCTGCGCCGAAGCAGAAGTTTCCTCCATGCTGTTTTGATTCTTAGACTTCTCCATCACCCACATGAAAAAGGACCGAATGGAGGAGTCCTAAAAATTGCATCTTACAGCAAACTGGGGTAGTCTGAAGGCAACGTGTGACTTGTGCTTTCTCTTTCTTTAAAGGCAGTTATTCTGCCTTCTCCTTTTTCATGTTGGGTAAAGATGGCCTTGACAGAATGCTGCCTGAATGAAGGAGATTTTATTAAGTAGTTTCCAGAAGAAAAAAAATGTGATGGAATACCCCTACCCGTGAAAGGACTTCAAGTCTTGAGTGTATTGGAGAAGGAAATGTCAGCTTTTTGACTGAGATGTGGATGCAGCACAATGTCAAGGGGCATGTTAAGCACAATGCGGGGGTCTGCTTGCAGGGGCCAGATAGCAGGCTTGAGTGTCCAGTTGGTATGTGCAGCCTCACATCTCCTCAGTCATACTTGCACTGATCTGGCTCTGTCCCTTGGAAGGTGGATTAAATTGCAAGCTTAGGGTTTGAGGGTTGCTTTTTTCCCCTTGACAGCTTGTGGCCTTGGAAGGGTGGTTGGGGCAAAAATCAGCAGAGTAAGAAGCAGGATGGTAAATCTGCAAGGATTTGGATTAAATTTTTGGCACTGCTCAGAAATGATGAGTGATGAAGCTGCAGTGCTGGATGGTGCCCCATAGCAGCTTGTGAGGGAGCTTTGCAAATTTCACCTTTCCCTGGGAGTGCTGCTGCCAAGCTCCCTGTGCTTACAGAGATGTGCTGTGAGTGCCTCAGCTGTCTGAGCTCCAGAACTTCTCTAAATATCTCTCAATTTTCAGGTGGGCAAGGGGTAGTTGGTAAAATGCAGGCGAAAAAGCCACCCTTTTGATGTGGGACAAAGATGACATGGTGCTGCAGAGGGTGCAGCATGGCTCTCCCTGAACACGGCCCAATGGCCCTGTTGTGGCCACGTCCAGCAGGGATAGGAGGTGGAAGATGGGAGGTAGGTGCTGAGCCATGCCACCAGAATGACTGGGCTCAGCAACTCCGCCAGCTTCTGCAGTTTCAGCAGAGGCTTTCAAATTAGACTGCGACCACAGTATCTTTCTGAGTGGTCCAAGTGTTTTGTTTTTACTTCTTAATCCTGTTTTCTTCTACCGTTCTGGAAGTCTGGTGGGAAGAGAAGGATTACACCTGCCCAGGGGCTGGATTGCAATTCTGCAGGGAAGCACCCAGAGCTTCAGAAGTAATGCCTGTAAATGTCACTCAGAAACCTATTTTTATTTAACAATTAATTTTATATTAACAATTGATAAAGAAACAGGGCTCTGTGTTGGCAGTGTGGTACTTGCATGCTCTTACAAGTATAATCTATTTTCTTTACCTTTCTCCTTGCATCTCTAGATGTGGGCTGTTTACGCTGGCTATTGATTGTTAAGGATTAAATCTGATTTACCAGATGAGCCCAAGCTGAAAGGATGCATTCTTTTTGATGTAACTGCATTCTCTAGTAGTAATTGAATTTAACTAAATGTAAAACTACATAGGAAAAAAAATGTGCTCCAATTATTTTCCCTACTTTAAGAAGCTTGTGTAAAACCAATGGAAAATAAGAAGAAAAGTTATTTAGGTGTCATCAGGAAAACATACTGTTGTAAGGAACTGAAGTCTGTATTTGTTGCTTTGGTTTTCCCTTTTTTCTGCTAGTTCAGTGTCTGTGGAGCCAAACAGTTATACTCTCCTTTTAATTTTTGTTTTAAAATCTCACCTTCTTTAAAAGCTTTCAGGATTTTATGTTGAAATATATTAAGCAACAGAGTAGGAATCTGCTGAATATAATGCTCAGGATCCAGTATGTATTTATGAATGAACACTTAGGGGTTCATTAACCCTTCCTGTTTCCATCACCTTCTTGCAGTATGCTTCCTTGTGTTCATGCAATTTGACATACAACATGTTAAGCAGTTCCAACTAACTGCAAGGGGAAAAAATGACCAATTTTGCTTTGAACAGTCTCTAAATTTTATGTTCTGTTTAGCTACTTCTCTTTGTAGGGTAGCAATTTTCCCCTGTAAATCAATAGTGTGGAAAAGGCATAGTTCAGGCTCCTTACAACACACAATGCTGAACTAGTTGGCAGCTTCACACTCCCAAAAATCCCCAGTGCATTGAACTAAAAACCTTCTATTTTCTGTAGTAGAGTGGGCTGGCACTTCAGCATATTGCAGCTATGAATCTGTCTGTTCTAGCGAGGAGAAAACTGTTCTAGATGCAGGAACAATAATTTTTTTCCTCTCTTGCTTTCTAAGATAATCACATCATTGGACAGCCCAGGATTCATTTTAGCTCTTAAAAGATTATATAGCTGGGTCAGAGTTAATCCAGGAATGTATATAATAAAGCACCGGACATGATTACATTTGTGTTTAGTCTGAGAGATTTGTGGATTTCTTTTTTTTCTTTTTTTTTTTCTTCTTTTGATTGCTGTCTCAGAGGAAGAAATTTCATTGGAGTGACAGTAGCCTTTCTTCAGCTGCCTTGATAGCAATAACAATCTCTGAAATAAGGCTTAAGGGGGATTAATTCCAAAGTCAAGTTGTCGCTATCACTCTCTGGCCATCAAGTAAGTCAGTAAGTGCATACAGCCAGTGCAGGGATCAGGCTATAAGTTTGGTTCGGAAAAATAACAGGGGAGTGTGCCAGCTGCTAAAACAGTTTACTTTCTGGCTTTTTAGACTTTTCCCTTTCTATATTTGAAGTTAAGAGTAGGGTCAGAAGAACTTGCCCACTGTTTTGCCAAAGAAACTTTTATGGGAGTGACCGATAAGGCAGATGTTAGCAGCTCTGCAGCAGGATCTGGTTTCCCCATCCTTGTCCTTGGGCAGGGTAGCAGAGCAACCAGCTACCGCTCCTTGTCTGCATTCCACATCTGCCCGTGCTGCTATCATGCTTCTTTCTGTATCTGCTCCACCTGACAAGATGATGTGCAATTATCTCTTCTGTGCACTTGTAAATAGAACTGGGATTGATTTTTGGACTCCCTTAAATATGACCCATGACAGAGGAGGTTCCATAACAAAATATGCCCAACTTTACAGTAATTATGGGAGGGTCTGGTGCATCTGGTGAAGCATCAGATCTGTATCTGGGCTGGTACCTGTGATGGGCAAACTATGCAGATGCTGCCTAGCAATTCCTCTGGAAACAGCCCCTGGGGCCATGGATAAACCTCACCACCCACTTATCTCACCTGGGGCACTACTCACTGCCTCAAGCCTCTGTGATGAGTTGTGGGTTTGGTCACTCCTGGTGGGTTGTGCTGATGAAGCAAGGTGATCATCTGTGCTGACAGATGCAGGTGAAAATGAGACATGGTGCTCAGTTCTAGCTCCCTCAGGACACCCAGATGGAAGGGGGCAATTTTTTTGTATTAGTGGAGTGAGTCCACCTGCTCATCTCCTTCTACAATAGGATGGTTGTGGCAGCACTTCTTCCCTTCCATACCATGAAGCTCTCCCAGTAATGCATGGAGACACACAAAAATTTAGGAGCTCATATATGGTTTGGGGGGAGGGGGGGGTTGACCCTGGCTGGGCTTCAGGTGACCACACAAGACACTTTATCACTCCCCTCCTCAGGTGGACAGGTGAAAGAAAATATAAGAAAAGGCTCATGGATCAAGATAAGGACAGGGGGAGATCACTCATCAGTTACTGTCATGGGCAAAACAGACTCAACTCAGGAATATTAATTTATTGCCAATTAGATAAGGGTATTGTGTAGAAAAAATCAAATCTAAAAACACCTTCCCGCAACCCTTCCCTTCTTTTGGGCTTAACTTCACTCCTGATTTTCACTACCTCCTGCTCCCCAGGAGTGCAGAAGACAGGGAATGTGGGATATGGTCAGTTCATCACACATTGTTGCTCCTTCCTCCTTCTTCTTCTGCTCCAGCATGGGGTCTCTCCCACAGGAGACAGTCCTTCGCAAACTTCTCCAACATGAGTCCTTCCCATGGACTATAGTTCTTCATGAATTGCTCCAATGCAAGTCCCTCATGGGGTCACAAGTCCTGCCAGCAAACCTGCTCCAGCGTGGGCTCCTCTCTTCTCAGGACCATAGGTCCTGCCTAGACTCTGCACCAGCACAAGCTTTCCACCGGGTCACAACCTTCTTCAAGCAGCCGCCTGCTCTGGTGTGGGGTCCACCACAGGTTGCAGGTGGGTTTGTGCTCCACTGTGGATCTCCCTGGACTGCAAGAGAACAGTCTTGTCACCATGGTCTTCACTGTGGCCTGCAGGGGAATCTCTGCTCTGACACCTGGAGCACCTCCTCCCCCTCCTTCTTCACTAACCTTTGTGTTTGCAGGGTTGCTTCTTTCAGATATTCTCACTCCTCTATCCTGGCTACTATTGTGCAGCAGTTTTCCTTCTTCTTAAATACCTACAAGCTGGGGGCTTGGGGAAGAGCAGGATGGTGACTCCAGTCAGGCATAGGCAGTCAGTGTACAATTGGTGGGATATGATACCATTGCTAAAGGAGGATCTGAAATCCTTCATAAAGAAAAGCATCAGAGAGGAGGTTGGGTGTGCTAGACCCCAGGCCAAACAGGGAAGAGGGGACCAGCTGGCATGGTTGAAGTATGTTGGGGCTGTCATGGGGGCAGAGCAGAGCCAGCATTGCACTCAAGTGTCTTCGTGCCAAATTTGCTGACTTGTCTAGCTGCTGCACAGATGTGTTTATGCACTGGGGGCATGCAGGAGAGAGGGGGGGTGCCTGCTGCTTCCAAAGTACGCAATCAAAAAAAACCACTGCTGACCAGGGAGTATTATCTAAGATGGCAATAACTGTATGCGATAAATCCTGCATTCTGGTTTCTGAAGTAGAATGGCGTTGCTGCTTGTTTCTGTCCTCTGTCATCAGCAGTGGAACAATCCTTGTTTAGGGTCATCTGAACAGGGAACTAAAGAGAGCTTTGTGCCACGGCAACACCAGATGTGGGTTCATGTGAAAATGGGAATCCTTGCACATGAAAAAGGCAAGTTCCAGTTTGGAAGCAGAATGGAAGACCTTGCAGATTTTTCCAGTCTTAAGCATGGAAGACACTGACAACAATTGTATGTGCTGACAGAAGTGGCCAGATTTTACATCATCGGGGGAATAAAATCCTGAGATTTCTCCCTTCTCCCCGGAATGGCAAAGCTTGAACCTGTTGTCTGGTGGAGATGGGCTTGTAGGTCTGTACAGTTTGGGCATAGTGTGCAGCTGGGAGCAAGGTAAGCCCCCTGGGACACTTCACCAGAAGGAGAGGAAGCACTCACTTGGCACAGTGAGTCATGATCATCTTTATTGTCATATTAGAGAGGGTATCTCTCTACTTGTTGTTACTGCCTTCAGGATACTGTGAAGAAATTAATGTTGTGATCATATGTGGGCACCCCTTTAGGGGCTTCCCACAGCCTACACCTCCTGCTTCCTCATCATACCCAAGTAGGAGGCTTTTTAGCTACCTTCACAGTCACAGTTTTTTCCGTTTGCAGCTTACAGTTTTAAAGGAATTGGAATTCTCTGTGTGCACCTGAAGCCTTAGTGTCCATCTGTCCTGCAGGGCGAAAAGCCTTTGTGTTATCTGAGGATCAGTTAAGCTGTGTTACTCAGTGTGGTTCAACATCTCCTGTAATGATCTCCATGGACGCCCAGTACAAATAAGAGATTGTTCTTGGACACTGAGATCCTGATACTGCCGACATTTGATTCTGTGGACTATTTGTTTTCTATTGTTTAACTGGCTGTGGCTAGGAGGTAAGGGTGGTGTGTCAGACAAGACTTGGAAACTAAGATATGTGTGTGTGTGTGTGTGACCCGAAGCAGAGCCTCTGAAAGCCCAGTCCCAAGTGCACCAAGCTGTGGGAGGAACTTCCCTTGAGTTCTTTAGGTTTTGAAGCAGATGTCTGAGGGTGAGATCTGCAGATAGCTCAGCTGCATGTTCAACTCTTATTGACTTCCGTACAGCAGAAGCAGATGCTGAAACTTTCTGCTGAAGAGAGGCTTTGAACTTTGTTGCTTGTTTCTCTCTGTTGTAAGAGTGGAAGAACACCTTCTTTTACCAGTAGATTTCAGCCAGATATCAGATATCCCATCATCTGGGAAAGCTTGCTGGACTCTTTGAGTTATTTATTAGCATGATACTAAACAAAACTTGTGATTATGTGCCTCACTGAAAATAGGAAGTTATTCAAATCCAATCCATGCAGCTGGCTAAGAATGAAAACAATGCAGCTGGCTAAGAATGAAAACAAAATGAAACAATTATTTTCCCATTCATCATGCAAACCCCCAAGGTGTTATGAGGCAGTTTGGTTTGAAAATGGAACAAAATATGACAAAGCCTTTATTTTGTTTCTGAATGTTGGCATATTCTTTTCCAGTACCTTCATGGAGTAACTAACAATTGAAGTACATTTCAGCTAACTTTTCTTTTTTGTTTCTGTGGAGCTTTTCTTATTATTCTCTGTCCATTTCAGCCATGCTGGCGTTATGGAAAATGCAGAGAAGTGATACCCTGTGTTCCTGAGCACAGAAGTAACTCTGTTTTGCAACGTGTCTTGGCAGTGTTCATACATCCCTCCCTGTGCAAGAGATGATCAGGAGAACTCTGAGAACGTCACGTACAAGCAGAAATACTGGAAAGAGAAAGTGGGTTCTCAACCATTTACATGCTATTTTAACCAGCACTTGAGGTGAGTAATCTTCATTTGGCTAGGCAGAAGTGCTTATGCGTCTGTTTAACAGCTGTCCATTGGTTCTGTTTGAAAATATATATAAATGTATGCACATGTATACACACATCCGCCCCCCCAAGTGATGTGGTTTCAGCACAGAACTCTGCAAGACAATTCTGTTGATGAAAAGCTATACAGAAAGCACAGGAGTGTTTTTATCACTTGAAGTAAAAATACAAAACTCTGAGGAAAGTTTTCCTTAAACCATGCAATTTTTATGACAAAAAGCATCTTGGCTTTTAATACTCAAATGGCAAATTTCTGGTTTGGAAATTAACATTCCTTCCTTCCACTGAGAAGAAACCCTTTTGTATTTGTGGAAGAAAAGGGAAGATCAGTAAATACTACAAACAAACTCAGGAATTGTGTTCACAGAGGATTAATGAATCAGGTATGTGTAATAAGCATTCATAGAACTGCCAGATTTCATAAATGCTTGCAGAATAGAAAGTAGTAAGCTAAAGCATCTCCCCTTCTGTTTCAATTCTTACTTTTACTGCTGATATTGATTGACTTACAGGTGTATGAGGGTGACGTGTGGTTTCCTTCCTTCCATAAACAGACAGGGGAAGGAGTCCTTTTGCCTCTCTCTTTCTGATGGTGATATGCCAGGAAATAGAAGGTGATGTGGCAGCAGGAAGAGGTTAGTCCTACCCCACAAACACTTGGAAGTTAAACAGATAAGGGAGATCTAGGAGGGAATAGCTTGGGGCTTGCAAGTGTGATTCGGGGCTTAGTGTGGGAATGTTGGCACCAGATATTCAAGTTCGTTTAGACAAACAGGAGGAAAAGGGATGCCAGTGTGTGCTAGGACCTTGGACGAACTGGGGAGCTGGAGCAGGGTGCCAGGTGGAGAAACGCCTAACTCTCCTGTGGGTGGCCCACTGAGTGCCTTGGGGGCTTCAGGTTTATCCTAGGCTGGCTATAATTATTACCCCCTCCCTGGAGAGACGTAGTCAGCATGCTCAGGATGACAGTCTGTTGCCCTGATTAACTCTTTGTGGAGGGATCCCACCAGCGCTTTGTAGCAAAAATTGTTGTTCCTTATAGAGGGGAAAGAAGAACTGCTTACAGCACACGTAGGTTAGGGCATCCTATGTGGTGACATCAGACCTGTCGGGGACCTTCTCAGGGGGTCCTTTGGTCCACAAGGTGACAATGCTTGGGTCTGCTAATCACAAGCCCGGTTATAATTTTGGCTTCTCTGAACAGGCATGTGCTTCCAGTTCCCCACACTGCTGAGACCTGGGACCTGCAACAGCCACTGCCTGAGTGAGCAGGAGAATCAGAAACATGGGATTGTCTGCAGGAGAAGTCATGGCTAGGATTCATCTGAACTAGTGTGGACAGGATGCTGTGAAAATCAGCTTTTCTAGTCAGCAGAGAGAAACAGGAACCTTTTACCTTACCCCAAAATAAATGCCTAATATTGGTCAGATGCCAAGAGGTGTTTATTTATCTCCTGTAAATGAGCATAGGGGCGTAGGCGTCCAGAGCTATGTGATCTGGTTCTCACATTTAGGTGAAGCACAGACAAAATATTTCTGAGGCTGCATACCATGTAGCATCTGCCATTCATGTAAGTTGACATTGAGGAATTGAGCAGCACTCAGGCAAGGTTTTTTCCTTAAAGATGCTGAATCCTATACTGCTGAATGTTCTTGCCAGTGCAATGGTTGACTTGAAATGCTTCCTTTTGCTGATCATACAATTCACGTACAGCAGAAGACAGGCTCACTGCCAGAGATACTTGAAGATAGTCTAAGCCAAAATGTGTACACCATTTATTTTCTACTGGAGATAGGAATGAACTTTGGGAGATAAGTTTTGCTGACTAGGAATGTGCATGTTAGGTATACTTTTAGAGCAACAATGACTAAGCAGCTTGTGAAGCAGTAAAAAAACCCATAATAAACTGAGGGAAAAGTCTGTTCACTTCAAAATAGAAATGGGTATATTTTCTGTCAGTATTTTTTTCACTCTATGGATAAGCTAAGTCTTCTGTGTCAGTCTATACAAAACATACAGAAAATAGCTCCTTAGAGAGAGTACTATTTGCAGTATTAATAATCTCCCTTTTGAAAAGGCAGAATAAAATTCTAAGTAAATATATAGGCAATGAGTTAACATCATCTATTCTTCATCAAACTTAATTCAGCTTCATTGTCAGAACTGTTGCTGCATGCAGAGTGTACTATTAGGTAACATCTCCCTTCAGTTTGGTGGTGCACATTTCAACAGGCTACTGTGAAAAGAAAAAAAAGATGCAATTCTTACAGTTCAAAAGGGATGAGAAGCAGATTTGGCAATTTCAATCATTCTTGCTTAATATAAATTGAGATGCCCAGCAAAACTAGCTCTCTGACATTTATCTTAGGGAAACTAAGAGCAGCTTAGCTTGGAGCTCAGCGCTTTACTGAAAATTGAGGTTTTGCTTTGCCACTGTAGGCACTTACTTTTAGTGTGCCACTCTTCTCTGGCTGGCAAGTTGCAAGTTGCATGGGAACGTTGCTTTTCTGGACCTCTGGTGAAGGTGCCTGTGTGTTGGCATGATGATATTCCAATCTGAAGGAAGCCTTGCCCAGCAGAAGAAAAAATATTTTATATTTCAGAGCATAAAATAAAGGACAAATTCAGATAAAGTTCTCAGGCTGTTGCCAAAGGTTTGAGAAGACACTGAGCTCCAGTGCTTCAGTGTTCTGGATTTCACACCAAGTGTTCAAGGGGATCTGTTGGCAGGACCACATGCAAACAAGTGTCACAGCTGCATGTCCTAAAATGGGATGTCTGGGGAAACAGGTGGGATGGGGAAGATCCTGTCGCTTTATTTCTTCATGTTCCAGGTCTCACTGACATCCACAACAAGAACAAAAAATAAGATACCAAGGTTTCTGTCAACTCAGACCACTCTGTCTCAGAGACTTGAAGGGCAAACGCTGTCCAGTGATTAGCAACAATCTGTATGTTGTTGGGGTACCTGCAGGGTCCTTATTTATTGGGGAATAATTATGTGTAGAAGCCCAGAGTGCTCAGGTAGTAGGGCTGCTCATCTGTAAGTGCTGGAACATAAATCTTGACTTGCCTGTTACTTCACACTTTTCTAAATTAATTCTGTCCAGTCAGAAGATGCTGTTGCTATTTCCTGTCCTTTTATTTTATCACCTGTGGAGCAGTGCTTGGGCCGGCAGGAAAGGATTGTTAGTAAGACACAGCACTGCCCCTGCATGCAGCCATCTAGGTGAGGATCTCTGCATCTTGCAACAATAAGGGAAAAAATGACTGCTTGTCAGAGCGATGGGATGTGAACAACTGTGGGCAAAATAAGTGTATTGCAAACATCTTAATTCCAGATTGTTTGAGTACAAAAAATATTTGTAAGATTACCCTATCCCATGCCCCCACTTTTGTCAGCTTTTGTTGTGTAACATAAGTTGCACAGTGTGGTTCATAAATGATGACTGAAATGCTTATGGGCCTGTAACTTTTTGGTCCTACATGACTTTTTGATAATTCCTGCACTGCAATTCTTCCCATGATGTTCCGTAATGGCTCTGAAGGTTCTAATGGAGGCCTGCTTTATCTGGTGTCTGTTTGAACTGCTTGGCAACACCTAACAGGGGTGCGTTGTATAATGAAACAACTAATCCAATCAACCTGGCTCAGAGCTCCACAAGGGTCTAGCCCTGAGCACAAAGTCCTGCTAAAAATAAGTCCTGGTCTCACCTTTTAGCAACGAAAACAAAATCCCTTCCTCCTTGTCTGTTCAGTGAAAGCTGTATTTTTTGGGTTGAAATAGAGACTTCTTCAGGGATATTTTTTAGTTTGTTCATTCATTTTTCACTCCGGGGCTGCTGCTGGGCAGTGATGGTGGTGCTGCACAATGGCCATCACTGTTTGCAGCAGAACAAGGTCCCAATGTCTAAGCAGGGTTTGCAGGTATTGTGGGTTTTTCCCCCTTGGTCTCTTTCTTGTCTCTGCCACTGTTTTGTGCACAGATAACTGGTGTCAGGAGTTTGGGAGCATCCCCTTTAAGAGGCTTTGCATTTACTGGAGACCTGAATGGCAGCATCGCTAGAAACAAGAGATTGCCCATAATGGACCTTGGGGGAATATGTGCAACCCCTCTGCCAACATCTTTGAACTGAAATGTTGTATGAAAGTCACAGAGCAAAGATAGGTTTATTAAATGCACTACACTTACAGGGACAAGGCGATATATTTAATTATATCTGCTGATTTTTACAGGGAAAATAAATAAGTTTCCAGGCATGACATACCTCGTTTGGGTTCAACATGAGTGCCTCAGCATCAGGAGAGTGATGCTGTGGGGGCTTCCAGCAAAGACATGAGAAGGTTTCCCCCAGGAACACAGCACCTTTCCTTTTCTGTTTCCAAGCCAAACAACAGGCCTTCAGATTCTGGGAACAGGCACATCATCTTTAAAAAAGCAGCAAGAAAAAGTCAAAACTGCAGATTCAGTACATGCTAGCCTCACCATGCAAAACCAAAGCAGTTACATTACTGTATTTAGAGTGTCACGGAATCCCAGAATATTCTGTTGGAAGGCATCCACAAGGATCATCAAGTCCAGCTCTTGGCACTGCACAGGACCACCCCGAGAAACACATCATGTTCCTGAGAGCATTGTCTGAATGCTTCTTGAACTCTGTCAGGCTTGGTACTGTGACCACTTCTCTGGGAAGCTTGTTCCAGCTTCCAACCACCCTCTGGGTGAAGAACCTTTTCCTAATATCCAACCTAAACCCTCCTCTGACACAACTTCAGGCCATTCCCTTGGTTTCTGTCACTGGTCACCACAGAGAAGAGAGAAGCTTTGCTGAAATCCGAAAAGATTACATCACCTGGCTTCCCTTGGTCAACTAGTTGGGTTACCTTGTCATAAAAGGAAATTTAGATTGACAAGCAGGACTTTACCCTCATGAAGCCATTCTGGCTCTGACCAATGACTGTGTTGTCCTTCAGGTGTTTTTCAATTACTCCCAGAATAATTTCCATAATTTTGCCAATCACTGAAATGAAACTGAGAGGTCTGTTGTTTCCAGGGTCATCCTTCTTGCCCTTTTTGAAAACCGGGACAAAGTTAGGCAGCTTCCAGTCAACTGGGATCTCTCCAGATTCCCAGGACCATAGGAATTGATCCAAATTTGTCCCACTATTTTTTTATGCCAAGAGTCAGTACCAAAAGGCTACATCCCAGAGGGTTCCAGAGTTTTCCTGGGTGTCAGATCACCATCCAAAAGTGCTGCTCCCTCCTCTTGACTAAAGAAGGGCATTTAATATCTTAATTGTGGTGCCAGTAGCCATTTATTGAAGTATTTTTTGAGGACTCAGTCATGTCTTGATGCATTGTCTGCAAAGATGCTGTGTGCAGTCGACAGTGAGTCACTGCCATATAAAAATTGCACAGGGACTCTTGCTGAAGCTAAGAATAGCAATAATACCCACCTGAACCAAAACCTCATCTTGAGGCTTAATTAAAGGTCTCTGTCTTTGACTCTTTTCCAAAAGGGAAATTCTTTTAAATTACCAAGTTACAGTCACACCTATAATGAGTGTTTGGCATCCATTGCTGCTAGCTTTGGTACGTGTTTCAAAAACACTTAGGAATCTGTCAAAAAGATACCTTGCTTTCCCCAATCACACTTTCTTTCCTTTAACTGAATGCAATTTTCTAGGTTTTCTTCTTGCCCCTTATTTTTGAAATCTTTGATGAGTATCTGCTTAAAAAAACCAAACTTAAAATTCAATGTCACTTGTAAGCTGAAAGTTGTGAAGATTGAGTGCTCTCTACTTATGGCCCCATTGCCAACTAGCACTCTGTTATGCACAGATGATGATACAGTAAATATGAGGGAAGCAGTATTATACTTCTTGTGAAAGGATTTTTCTGTTCAGGTGTTGTCATTCTTATGGCATAGGCTGGTGAGTTTGTGCCTATAAAGTTATTACTACTTGATTCAATTTATAGTCTCCACCTGTGCCTGCCTATATATATTTAGGATTTTGGTTAAGCAGACTTCACTATTGAATACACCTGGGGTTCTTTTGACAATTTTTTATGTTGCTGAATTTCAACTTCTTTATAGCTGAGCTGCTCATAATCAATCTTATTCTGCTTCTTACTACACAAACAGAGATACATTGTGTCAGCCTTGGGGACTTACAGGCTGGCACAGTGCAGAGGATCCTTCACATAGCAATTTTGGGTGAGAGATCCCCAAATGCAAATCCAGGTGCAATTAAATCTGGGATAAGTTGTAGCTTGACAGTCTAGCTCCATTAACTCCGTAAGGATGGATTAAACTCCATAGATTTTAAAACATCTCCATAAATTAACTTCTCAGTGAAAGAATAAGAGGTTCTTCTTCTTTCCTCTATGGAGAATGCTTTCTTGGTGCTGCTTTCTGATCAGGATAAAACTATTGTGGGAGAGACAGCACAGTCATTGAGCAGGTATCTGCTTCCATGTGCCACTGTGTTAGAAGAGCTTAATTCCCAGGACCTGGCTGGATGAGCCTGGGTTGGCAGGGTTTTAGGCTGCAGGGTTTGTTGCTCTAAGGAGTGTCAGATAGCATTGACAAAGCAACACGTGATGGGAGAGTTCAATGTAAATGAGGACCAACATTAGTCAAGGCTATAGATATTTTCCTAATTAGAGAAAGTCTGTTTCTTTCCTTTGTAGGTAATTTTCCAGGGACTGCATGTGTCTGGCTTTAGATGAGAAAGCAGCAACAAAATGCAAATGCCATGAGACTGATCTAGTAACTGTTAAACTGCAAGGAGAGCAGAAAGAGCCAGAGCTGAGGAAAACCTGGCATCGGATTTCCCAACCGACTTCCCAGACTTGGAAGAGGTGGATGGACAACTGATATTTCAGACACGTGGCACAGCTAAATTTCTGAATATCTTAAGATGCTTCCTCCTTGCTATTAGCCTTTTCCCTTGGAAATGCATAAACCTGTTACAGCCGCGACCATGACTCTGTGTTAGATGCTGTTGATGGAGGCTTGGAGGTTCAAATGTTTGGGGGAGGCTCCTCAAAGTGTCCCTGTAGTAGCCTACTTGGACGCTGCTGTTTGCAGCACCAAATCACAGCTTATTGTTGAAATAGCCACTGCTGGGAAGGGGCTGAGTCGGGAGCCTTGGCCACGCGGGGCCAGGCTGTCGTCCTCCTGGGGATAGGCTGTGCAGACTCCTGCCTCCCAGTGCAGCTGGGCTAGCCTGGGCCACCAGCAGTTCAGGGCTGAGGGCAGGGACCGGCTCTGCACCCAAACCACAGCCAGGACTTACTTCACCAGGAGCTTTCATGAACACATCAGTGCTCCAAGCTAAAAGGGAAGCTTTGATTACACTTAACCCATTGCACAGGGCTTGATGACATCTGAGCTAGACATGTATAAATGCTGCCTGGTATTATGTTTTTGCTAGAGTGGTTTTTCCAATCCACAGTCAGTGTGATACTGTATCTCTAACAGCTCTTTGTGATGACCATGACCCCTGGAAGACCTGAAGTACCAACCCCCCCCCCTTTTTTTTTATCCAGACAAACTTGTTAGCCTGTAAACACTGCAAGTGGAAAGCTCTTACAGCCCACCACGAGTGCTGGTGATAAACGGGCAAACGAAAGCAGTGAATGAAATGGTCCACTTAATCATTTTCTAACACTAGCAAATAAAACACCTTTACTCTTTCCATGGTGGATGATTTCCACTAATGATGAGCTGATGATATTGAGTTGATTTATATTTTCTACATTTTCTGTTCCTGCTCTTCACAGGCCAGATGATGTGATGCTGAAGCGCACCCATGATGAGACTGTCCTCTTGCACTGCTTCCTCTGGCCTGTGGTGACATTCCTGGTTGGAGTCCTCATCGTGGTCCTGACCATCTGTGCCAAGAGCTTGGCTGTCAAGGCAGAGGCAATCCAAAAGAAGAAGCATTTGTGAGTGGCAAGGCTGCTGATGGAAAAGAAAAATCTGCAAGAAGGTCTCAAGTGGGGAAACTTGACACACCTGCAGGTCTGCGGGGCACCCTTCGTCTCCTACCAGGGTCTGATCTGATGGTGGAGTTGCTCTTGCCTCAGGATTTTTCTTAGAAGACTGCCCCATGAAATGCCAGCTAATTGCTTCTTCTGCTATGACAGTAAATAAGTATATTCTACCAAAAAAAAAATAATCTACACTACACCAAATATGCTGTGTGCTCTTAGTGCTGAACTGCAGCTACCCAAGTCCTAGTGGAATTGAGACAGTTTATAAAACTCCCTGATGATGCTCATTCCATCTCTACAAAGCGATCTTTGCTAATGTTTAATGTTAAATATTTAAAATATTTGCTTTAGACAAACCTTATTTTCAAAATAATAAAATTTGTTTTGGGTTTTTTAACCTTTGGAATTTTTTTTTATTTAAAAGGAAAAGCTTTAAGACAAACATAACACTGTGCTGTTTTGGGTTTTTTTTCCCACTGCGTAGAACTTAATTTTAAAATTCAAACTTTAACTTCTGTCTAGACTAAGTCTTTCATCATCACCTGTTCATTTTGATGAAATGTAGAAATCTCTCAAAAGTACTTATCAAAAAAATGAAACTATTATTGGAAAGATGATTAAATGCTGGATCTAATTTTATTGCCTCAGTGGTATTCAGTCCCTACAGTTGTTCTTGTCCCCTCTCAGATACACTCTTCATGAATGCTCTCAGACTGTAAGCAGCAGGAATTTTACATTAGTAGTTTTACACGAATATATTTTACTAGCATCTTCCCTCAAAAATGGAGTGCCTGTGCACTTGCTGAGGAGAGCCTGTGAGCCATGGTGTGATCCATCTCACCAGAATCCAGGAATAGCCAGGGAAGATATCAGCTCCTTGTAGGGCTCTAGGTGTTTGCTGCTAAACTGCCCATCCCAGTCACACCAGCTCCATGAAGGCTCCCACGCAGGGGACGTTCCAGAAAATGCAAGGCAATTCGGGCACGGAATCTTGCTGAGTCTCCTTTCTCTGCTTGCTCCAGGTCCTCACTGTGTATGATTGGAGTACCAGCTCTCGTCCACTTGCTCATTGCAGAGATTTCCATATTTCTGGCAGTTTCCCTGGGCACATTTTTTGCATACCATAGTCAGGGGCTGAGGCCAGAGTAGCTTCATGGCACACGTCCATACCCCCACAGGGCTGGACCCCCCTGGGACCAGCTGTGCAGCTTTGCAAGGCTGAAGTGCAGCAGAGAAGAAAAGCCGTGTGGCTCAGTCAGGAAAATGAGTGATTACTGGCAAAGCATTTTAATTTACATTAACAATTCTGCAATTCTAAACATACTGTGCATTGTACTAATCTCTGATATTCTTAGTATTATGTTTAAATACCTTGTGTTTCGTTGTGATTTTAACACTTAACAGAAGTATTTCCTGAGGATGAGAAAAGTGCTAGATTTGAAAGCTTGAAAGCTTAGTTGGCACAGTGACAAATCTGCTTGTATTGCCCAGTGTCCTCTTCAGATGAATTGTATTGTGTGTTTTCCAACTGATTTCCGTGAGGCTTCTTGTACACATTGTGGTTTCCAGTGATAAGGGTGATATATGGCAGGGGCAGCAGGTGACTGAGGTCATTTCCAGCCCCCCTTCTTACTTGCTATGTGACTTTTGGAGAGTCCTCTGTTCCTTCAAAGGAATTTAAGGAAATATGTTTGTGGAGGTAGGAACTTGATGCTTCTTGGCATGTTACTCCACGCGAAAGATCCAGTTCGTGTTGGTTGCACATGTTCAAGCACCTCCAGTCCCATGGATGAAAAACAGTTCTTGTGCGAAGAATTTCCAGTTCTCTGTGTTAAACATCACCCCTTTGGAGATGCCTGTTGCCAGGCTCAAACAGGCTCTCAGCCTGCTGGGAAATATAGTGCTGGATATACAGGGTGAAGAGAGGCTATGAGCTCAGCCTGTTAGAGGAAAGCCTGCCAACTTCTGGAAGGGGTGTTCTGCAGAGGGCACTCTTTCATTTCACTTGTATCTTCAAGTTCACTTGCAAGCAAGGCCACTGCTTGCATCCTCTGCTATTCTCTTGCCTCAGCAACCCGCAAAAACACTACATCATGTGTCTGATTCAGGGGGTTAGTTACTATTTTTTAACACTATGCAAACCACAGAAAGCTGACATTGTGGGGTGGTTTGGTTACCTGGCTAAGGTGATGGCAAGTTCTCTTTGTCTATTTCCGCACGGTAGCTTCTTACAGTTAAGGAAAATAACTCTGATTTTCTGCATACATCCATCCTTTGTTTTCCCAAGGCAGAAGGAAATACAGAGTGACACAGATTCATCATGAAATTTTAAGCCAGTACCTTGGGGCTCGCAAATCCAGATTAACAAAATCCGCTCTAGCTTTGCTCCAGAAGCTTTTGTGACTGAATAGTACAGCTGGTTCTCTGAGCAAAAAGCAAGAAGCAAATTGAGCTGATGCAACTCACTTGATTGGCAATCATATATCTAAATCTGGTGGAAATGTCATTTGCAAAGGCCTCTGGAAGAAAGTAATGGTTGCGGAGATGATATTAAATTATTTTGCTGAAAGATTAACATCCCAAGTTAAACATCTAAATTAGTATGCAAAGACAGGCAGTATGCAAAGACTGGCATGGCAGTGTGTGATACTAAGGGGAAAAAAAAATCCTAAAATTCACTTTTCTGTCCCAGCCTGCCCCTCACTGATTTAGAAACATATTTGTAATCCCTGTACTTGGTTGTGGAAGCTGGGGATTTCCTTTTAGTGGATTATTCACTGATTTCCTCCTTGGCTTTGCAGATTTCCAGTTTTGGTGGTGTATTCTCTGAAACATATTCACAGCCAGAGCAGCTGCTTTTCCCAGAGCCATCTGCAGAGTCAATTTTTGCATTTTATTCAATATTTATATGCCACTGCATTGAGGAATTTTCTTCTGTCATGCTGTCTACTGCTCTGCTTTAGTGAGACCTGCCTTCTCTTTCATGCAGTGCAATTACATAAATTTTTTTATGTGGTATCTTTTCCTGTTAGCTTCTTAGGCTCATTTTAAAAGTCAAAGTAATAAGAGCATTTTTTTGTTGCATTTCCCCTGCTTTTTGTGTTTTGGTGTTGCCAGTAATAGACAAGATTTCACAATATGCTAGAAAATTTAGCTACTGAATGAAGAGCTTAATTCAATGCTCGGAGTAGATGAGGGATGTCATGGAAGTATCCAGGGACATTTTAAAAGATCATTACCCACAATTTCTGCTATAAATGTAACCCTATGATAGAGGTCTAGCACAGAGTGCTGGATTTTAAGGACATTTATAAACTGAGTCTTCAGTAGGTGCCGGAGAACGAAAGTTAGAAAGTGCAGTGGAAAGGTAGCCCAGGTCCCAGTTTCCAGACTTGTGCTTCCAGGTGGGTTTTAAGGGATTTGTCCTAGAACAGAACAAAGATGTCTGTGAGGCATGAGAGTGCAGGGTTCTCCATGGATCGGCCGCCTTGGCTCAGCCTGCCCCTGACCACCCTAGCCCTGGTGATGGTGTCCGTGGGGTTTCCCTGCCTACAATTTGCTTCTGGGAGCTCTCATTCCTGAGCCAGGGCTGCAGTGTCATGCCCACAGGAGCAGGTGTGTCTACAGAGGGCTATCATGCATCTGAGCTCACTTCACACACTACATGAAAGAATCTGTCAAGCATGTGTTATCCAGTCAGAGTCCATCTGGGAAATGTGAAAGAGGAAACATTGGTCAGTGTTTAAAACCCTTTAATAAATAAGGTTGTAGGGCTTAAGTGTCCTTGAGGAAGTGTCTAATGCAGTTTGCTAGGGGTTTGGGCCTTACTCAAAAAATTAAACCTATTTAAGACTCGCAGTGGGTCTGGTCCAATGGCAGGACCATGTGGAGTGCCTGTGAAGAGAAGGAATGTGCTGTGCAAGCCTCTTTGCTCAGCACCGCAAATATGGGAGCTACCTGCTGAATTGGGTTTCTGCAAACTTAAACCTAAATGGCCAAAGTATTTTAAAGCCAAGAACAAACATGTGGAAGAGGAGACATCCACAAGAGTGTCTATTAAGAAAATAAAAACACTCAGGTCATGGCTTATGTTTAGATAATCAAATGAAAGGAACTACAGCTGAATTTCTAATTATGGCACCTATAGTATCATGCAAATATGGTCTTTCAATCCTGGGCAGAAATCTTATAGCCAGAGCTATTGAAAAATCAACTCATTTCTGTGTGGGGGTTCTCTGAGAATCAAAGGCTATTTGTTTTGGGGTTTTTTCCCGCGGCATAGGACAGCTGCTATTCCTCCATTATCTTTCAATCAGAAAACAACCTCTTCCCTTTCTGGCATCTTAAGAGGCTGCTATGCTGATCTGTCAAGTTAACAGTCTTTGCTGCAGAGAGCATGAGCAGGAAAACCTCCAAGGGAATATGTGTGCAATTAATCATACTGCCTTGTCAGGTCACAGAACCACTGAATGAATCAACCCCGAAGTTTGATATTTGAGAGTCTGTGCAATTCTTGTTCTGGTTTGATATGCTGGTGCGAATGCTGCCATTGCTTGCACTATGTTTAATTCACAGCTCTTTGGTGGTTTAATGGTTTGAAGCATCATAAGCTGAAAAATCACTTTGCATGCCTTAGATGCATGGCTGGAGATGCTATACATATTTAAAAAAAAAAAAGAATAGCCAATTACAGTATATAGCTGTAATTTGTATGTAAAATTTTATTATAAAATACTTTTGGCATAGCTGTAAAATTTCATACACACCTACAATACACAATCTCCAAACAGCACATACAGAAATCCACCAGAAATGTCTCCCAGAAATGCAGTAGTTTTGATATTGCATTAAAAAAAAAAAAAAGCCATTTCTCTGTGATTTAA